AAAAAAAAATTATAATTTCACCTGCTTCGTGCGTGGGTGTAATTTCATCTCTCACTATGAAATGAGAACGAATAGGGACGGGCGGGGCTTTGAGGAGCAAATGAGGACTACAGAAGGAAGCTGCAGACACGCACTTGAACGCAGACGTTCAAATGAAATGGCGGAGGCGAAATGGACATGCAGCGCTGATAACGGACACGAAACATGCTTACAAAATTTTAGTTGTAAAACCTGAAGGGACGTTATCACTTGGAAGATTTAGGCATAGTACTGCGCGATAACATTAGATGCACATAGGTTATGGGGGTGAGAACTGGGGTGGACTGCGTCAGTATACAGTTGGGTTTCACGCATGCAATAATGAGTCTATATATATGCGGGAAAATTACTGGAAAGCTAAGAAACTCACAAATTTTCAGGGACGGTCACGCACCATATTATTATTATTATTGCAGTATGTCAAAATGTATTGAACGTAGTATGTCTGGCTCTATTGCAGTAGCACATGATTCTTTACAAAACTAATATTAATTAGCATAACGCCTTTTGTAATTTTCAAGGTAAAATGTTAAAAGCAGACTATTTAACCAGAATTTAAAAGTTCTGCAAAGACAGCGACACTTATACAAATCTACTAAATTTGATAGAAAAATATGTACGTAACATAATACTTCCTGTATAACAAAAATGTAAATCTATCCCTGTAACGGGACGTGGAGGCCCATAGGGTTGTGAGACGTCGAGGCTCCTACATTTTCTAGACAATCGGCTCATAAGTGGAGGTGAGGTTGTCAGCCTTACGCGCCGGCCGCCCTTTATACCACAGGAAGACTCCTGGTACTCATTTCTGTTAGAGGCTGAGTCGACCCCAAGGCCATAGTGCGGCTGGAAGGATTAGGCAAATTGAAAAGATCCACCTCATCGATACTCGAACCTGCGACCTTCTAGCTTGTAGCATAGTGCCTCAACCAACTATGCTACAGCGAAAATAATATAAATCTATATTGTATGGTGGGGTGGTCGGGGCATGTAGCACGCATGGAGCAAAGACGAAGGTATGAAGGATTGCAGTGGGAAGGCCAGAAAAGGATCACTGGGAATACGAAGACGTAGGTGGGAGGTT